ATATATATGGTTCAACCTCCTCATGAGTCGGTGAAACTCCGACGAAACAGTTTGTCACAGCCCCTCGTTTGTTGTCCTCTTCTCTCTCTCTGCCTACGGTTTACCGCGCAGTTCTGTTTGTGACGATATATATCGTCACAAACAGAACTGCCCGGTAAACCGTAGGCAGAGAGAGAGAAGAGGACAACAAACGAGGGGCTGTGACAAACTGTATATATATACATATCCGCATGCAGAAGGTGACCACATACGTACTACCGCCTTCTCGCCGTTGTTCCCTAGTCGAGAGCCGAAAGAAGGGGGCAATACCGAAGACGTGAAAACAGTCGTTATGTAAAAAAAAAAAGATGCGTGGAGGACAAACAAAAAAAAGCAAGGAAAAAAAAAAATGCCAATGTTCCCAATCTAGTTGAGAGCGTAGTGGTCGGAAATAACAAAAACGATTTATAAATTTTTTTGTTTTTTTTTTCCATTCGTTCTTCCTTTCAAGTACTGTTTTTTTTCGTCTCAATCACCTGTGGTCCTGCGGCGGACGGTTTTGTTTTTTCGGTTCGTGTAAGTTATTACTATCCGTATTGCCATCCCGCTTACTTTTAGTTCTACCATTTGTCCGCCATACTTTGTATACAATGGAGAATATTTTTTCCGATATTTCTTTTCCATGTTCCGCGTACCAATAGTAACTTCCACCGCATCTGTTGCAGATACTCACAACGAGACACTATAATGGAGCTGGCACAACCTCAAGCACCCAACAACGAAGATGATCGGGACATGGTGTACGGTCGTCGACCAAGACGTAGAGTTTTGCGTGGTCGAGGGGGCCCCGGTCTTGGGCCAGCAGTCGTCGCGGTACTTCACGCACAACCTCCTCCCCCGCATATGAACGGGGATGAAATACGGGCAGCATGGCCTCATCCTGCGTTTTTGGTTGAAACCGCGGTACAGATTGTGGGTCAGGAGGACCGCAATGACCAATTTTTGCATATCCTCATGGGAAACGATCGACTGGACGCGGCGGCTAACAGATTCATAGGGTACAGGGAGTTCGCGAACCGCTGCGGTTACACTCGCTGTCAGAGACTGCTGACGGAATTCGAGGAGGCGATGCGCATGAGGTGACCCAACCCCCAAAACGATGGCTACGTCGGCTTCATTCCTGATCAGCGTGCTCTAGCCGATAACGATAACCCTCCCCATGGGTAGGTGGTAGAGAGAGTTTGGAGAGAGAGAGAGAGAGAGAGAGAGAGAGAGAGAGAGAGAGAGACGTTGCTCCATTTTGACTAAGGTTAGGACAACGGACTTGATATGTGTTGAACARCATGACTGCAAATCGTGGATCCTATCGTGCATG